AGCAAACATAACAAAAAATGCATTACAGCCAACAGACATAGAGTTAAATCATAAAAGCCCAGTAACGGTGAATGAATAAATAAAGAGTTCCAGCTTCACAGGCTCATCCTTTCATCTCAACAGAATCAACGTTCTCCCTTTCTGCCCATCTTGTCTCAACAAATGGCGAAATAGCTCCTAAGTGTTACCTCACACTTGTTTGTGCACGTGTGCACTCGTTGGTGCACTAGATGCCAGTGTGTGCGCGTGTGTAGGAGTCATCAACTCTGGCTGCTGCTACTCCTATAGATATATAAAAAAAAACACCTGCCAGAGAAAGCTTTCCAAAGCTCTGGCCTGTCTGCTGCCGTGCGTCCATATGCACGTGCGTGCGTCTTGCTGTTGTTTATGTAGAACCCCTTGCATGAGTGCATTTCAGTTTACTTGCCAGATGTAGCTAATTTTGCACGGCACTTATAGATTGTCCAGTTTTTCTATTAGCCAGATGTGCATGTTGTTTTCATTGTTCATTACCAGAAAGCCAAAGCTTTGTTTGAATAAATATTGGTAGCCACCATTAGCATGTGGGCACCTGTGACTCAGTCGACTGTAGATATATGCAAAGGGCAACTTTTAACTTTATTCAAAACTAATATATGAAATGATAAAATATATACTGTAATATACATATTACATATAACAATAAAAAAGTATGAAATGCTAAAATAATTAAATTAACACAGCAGATAAGGAGCAGCAGCAGAGCAGCTGCCTCTCACCACATTGGAGAACAGATGTTCTCAGGCTGCATTGGCCCTTGCACCTCCTAATCAGATACAAAACCGACAGCTGAGTGTGGACACTGATTTATAATCCACTACTTTCCTACCGCCAAGACCCCCGACCCACCTTCACCATCTGCATCGCCTTCAATTCTTTACAGCGTCAGCACGGAGGTGTTGCTGTGGCAACAGCATCCCACTGCAGAGGCGAATCATCGATCCTTTTGTGTGACTCCGTCATGTAGTGCGTATTACTGTCATCCACTGAAGAGCAAGTGTAAATTGTCACACTTTGTCGCATAGTGATGAGCACAGGGCAGAGGCGTGGGACAGATGGAGGCTTTTTGATTGGCTAATAATCAAACCTTTCCAATCATATTGAGGCTTTAAAGCTGCTCCACCTGATCCTGCTGAGCCTGAGCTGAATCAATACTTTGGAAATCAGTATTTCTCTTCTGTGGGGAGTGAGGGCAGCGGTATAATGAGTAATAGTGAATCTTTGTTACGAAAAGGCTTCAGTAGTTGTTAAACTTTTGGAGCTTTTACTACCTTAACTTGTGGGACGACTTGTTTGTAGGTCGGTCTAGTAGAAGTAGGGCTGAGTCACAATCTTTGGTTAGTTTGTGAACTTATTCCAGTACTCTATGGATATAATAAACACCGGACAAAGGATTCAGCAGGTGGCAGGAGTGCTCACCAAATTTTTATTTCAGGTTTACACTAAACATGATATTAGCCAGATTCACTTTAGGAACAGGTATTTAAAACATTCATGATAAATAGGGATGGCTTTATCTGATACCCAGGATTGTTGATCTGATAGTGGTCAAAACTTTAGACCAATATCAGACACCCTGAATTGACTGCTGTTTAATTGTCTGCTGGGCTCTACTGTACATTCATCTAAGTCCTCATCTTGTTGCCAAACTGGGAGGAAAAATGACATGGGCAGTAAATAAGGGCTGAGGGCGTGGAGGGCAATATGATTGACTAAATGAATACAGTGTAGGAGGTGGTAGATGTGGACGTATCTAATAAGAGAAAGAAAAATGGGGGGAAAGGAGCGATTTCAGTTGGAGAATGATAGCCACGAGGCAGGAGCTAGGTCGGTTTGGAGGAATAACGTAGTTTGGCTGGAACTGACTGTAAATGTGGGTCTGCTTGTGTGTATGTGTAAAAAAAAAATACAAAATAACCAGCAGCTCCAGGGACCAAGAAAAGTTGATTCTAAATCCATTTTAAAGGGACACAAATGACCCTCAGGTCACTGCAGTCAGACAGACGTTCGGCACACACTGTCTTTATATCTGCTGCTGAGAAGGAGAGTTAGGTGAGAGAGATGGAGTGGACTGTCTGTCCACTAGCTTATGAAAAGTCCATTATTGTGCCCTTCTATCAGTTTGGACTCTCCCAGATGGACCCAGTAGTAAATGGACAGGACCATAGAGCTATAAGCTGAGATTTGATATAGGGCTAAGAAATAGATTGTGGGTGCGCAAGTGTGTGTGTGTGTCTGTGTTCAGTCGTAAGTAGTGAAAGAGCTAACAATAGTGACCCAGGCATGCCTTGGTGCCACCTATGTTTTTGTCCGTGCCATTAATTCACCACAGCTGTTTTCTCCACATTTTCATATGTACACACATGCATACACACACACACACACACACACACACACACACACACACACACATAGAGTCTCCTCTGCAGGCTTAAATCTCAGCTCAGTCTGACAAAGGAGCCTGTGGCTCTAACTGGCTCTGCCCCAATCCCCTTCCCCAGCCAGATGCTTTGTAGAGGCTAAAAACTGCTTTACTGCATGTGGTTTATTTATCAGCTATATTTACTTCCTATTGTGTCTGCGTGTGTGTGTGTGTGTGTGTGCACCGCATCAAGGTGTATTTAAGCATCGGTGTCATTGTTCCTCATGTGGTCAAAGGCTCATTGTGTTGTGTGCATTCAGTCGAATGTCTTTTTAAATTAGTAAAGAGAAAAATGAAAAAAAAAATCACAAGTTACAGTAAGCATTGTTATTAGGAACTGTTGGTTTTCAATCAGAGAAACAGTGATTCATAAATAACCGTAGATGTGACGCTGGGTTTTCATATTCCAGTAATGATCTGGATCGTACCACGCTGCCTTTGCTTGTTTTCTACGACGGTAAATGTCAGGATGCAGTGCTGAGTTGGGTCTGTAAAAACATTGATGTCGTACGAGGCGACTGCAGTTTTACCTGTGGCGCATCGGTGTCTGGTTTAATTGCTTTTACAGCAATAACGTTTACACGCACATTTACAAAATTGTGCTGAAGGTGTGAGTTTCTGCTCTGAAGTCTTTTTCATGTTGCAGTATACGAAAAAATGTACGAGATAAAAAAAAAAACAAAAAAAAATTATTTCCCTCTGCTGCAGATTGAGACGCACAAATTAAATATTCAAATATAAACTATAAACTATAAACTAATCAGTACGAACATCTAATTATTACATATATAGTTTTGTGTATACATATATACATACACATATAAACAAAAATATGCATTGATCTTGTTGTTCTTCGTTTTGCATAATTTAGCACTTCTATATATATTATATATGGTATAACTTTCTATATATATTCTATTCTATGGAAACATCTGAGGCACAGTTCAGTGACTATTTCTTGAAGTTTGGAATATTGTTTTAACTCTTTTTAACTTTAAACTTTAAAATCTTTCTTTCTACATTTTTGTGCAGACTGTCTGTATTATGACATCATAGTGATTTTTTTAGGCAACTGAAATAACTCTGTCACTCTGGGACACCTCATAACCCCTTTGACTGATCAACCAGTACATCACACGTTGTTCTAGAGTAGATACTGTCCAACCAAAACATTATGAACCAACATTTACACTAAGCCAGTCACCAGATGGTATGGATTAAAATAAAAAGCCGGATGGAAATATTGCTCGTTCAAACATCTGTTATTTCAGCTAATAAACCACAGAGTCACAGCAGCTTCAGGGAGAAACCATTTCTGATCATGTCCTCCTCCTCTCCTCTGTCAGGTGAGGGGACAGAAACTTTTAACTTCAAAGATTAAGTCACATGATGCAGGCGTCAGATAAAACCAAGATAGAGTATCGCGCTGCACCCTTGCTCCTGACCACTCACAGGATTATTGACTGGGCTCACGATTAGAAGTGATACTGCCAACTTTAGATGGAGAATTCCCCTGGAGATGGAGAAACNNNNAGTGGGTGAGGGGGAAAAAAAACCACAGAGATAAGAGAGGGCAAGACGTTTTGATGATGTGTGTGATGATGTGCCCATTAAAGTGCAGTCCAGAACATTAAACAATATAGTGGGTTTCCAAAGGTCAGTTCTCTCAGGGGTTTATCCATATTGATCTTTTACTTTCGATTGTGCTGGACTCCGCCGTGGTGTTCATCTAAATCTTCTCCTGTGCTGCAGAACTATTGGCGAGAGAGCTGGAAAAAAAGAAAAAGAAAAAAGGATGAGAAAGACAAGGGAGAGGAGAGAGGTTGAGAAATATAGAGATGGTGGAAAAGTAGTCATCACTGGTCATTTTATGTGAGACATTACTCCTCTGTCCTGCTTCACTGACCTCTGTGTCTTAGAAGCACAGCAGCGTAGGAGAAACACCCACACACGGGGTTTAATTTGTGCCAGATTCTGCCAGATAAATGATTCAGAAACTCCCCCATTGGGACCAGCACTTACTCTGTTGATCTCAAAATAAATCAATATATTTTCTCAAGTCTTAAAATTCCTACAGCAAAAAAAAAGTGACATCACATGGATTCCAGTCATTCCCAATGATGCTAACAATGGAGTTGGCTCTACTAGGACTCTGAAACAGTCAATCACTCTGTAATGATAATGTTTAGATACGGTCTTGGCAGATTTTTAGAGAAGCATCACTGAAACACCAGCTGCCAACGCAAGGAAATGTTATAACGCTGCCGCTCTAATTGTACTCAAAATGTTAACCTTGATACAGCCAGAACTTGTTCAAATCAAAGAAGGCTGTTGTCTTCTTGAAGAACACATAATTATTTTGTTTCGTTTTGTTTTTGCAATAAAAACACAATTTTGTTTTGCTGAAGACGTCCTTCATTTTTGTAGCTGACTGAATAAATGACTACATTTATTAAGAATATCAGTTAGATCAGGTTTGACTAAAGTGAATTGTCAAAAAAAAAAAAAACCCTGAAAACTTTTCTTGTTCATGTTTCAGAATCATATGACGATGACCTAAAGGTGAAGACCCAAAGACCACGATCAGCTGACCAGCCAGGTGTGTTTCAGGCACAAACAGGTGAGTTTTGCATGTGTGTTTGTGCACAGCCTGGAACAGAAGCATTGGACTTGACCTTTTACTCAAGAACATTTATTTAATCCTTAACATGCACTTGAACTTGTGGTTGACCACAAATGTGACTGAGGGAATGTATGATTTTATTTTGTGTGTGTGAGAGTAAAGAAAAGCTAAATAAGTAAAGGCATGTGAAAAGACAGCTTTATTCACTGGATGACATTTACACATGCACACAGAGCTGCCCTGTACATACATTATTAGGTTCTGGCTGGTTCAGCCACACCAGAATAGGTCATACACTAATTTTAACACGCTAACATATTCATGCACACCAAACGACACAGGCTTCCATATTCGGCACCGCTACTGAGGAAAGCCCCTGGCCTTGTCCTGTCCTTCCTCGCTCTTCTCCGCCTTCTTGCTTCTTGGTTTCCCGGAGGCCTGTACGATGAGCTTAAGCCCTGAATCATGGCATGTTAATAAAGATGTAATGCGATTAACAGACATGCAATTAATTTGATTTCCTTCTCTGCCTGGTGATGACTCTTTCTCCAAAGGACATGGCCCACAGAAACATTTTTTTTTCCTCTTGAGAAAGTAAAGAATGCATCACATCTTCACCGCAGAGCATCGAGCTAAAGCTTTTAAGCATAAGGTTTATACATGAGGTCATCATCTACAAGTTATTCAAGGCAAGTTTCCATCATGACAGTGAGTGTGTTGTTGCCTTGAAAAGCATCTTACAGGAAGATCACATACAGTGTGGCGTAAATCTACTGCAGCAGAGCTACCCAAAGATTGAGTGAAAAAGAAAGGATCAAATCAACAAAACCAAACTTGATATCCTCTGACTTTAAGCCGATTCCAGACCAAATAAAACCACAGACACTCCTTTTGGCCTCTGCGACCACTCAGCCTTTTTCTCATCTGCCATGTAATTGCCAGCTCTCCTCCTGACAATTGTATTGATTATGATTTTATTTGTCTTTCTATATCAGTTTGTTATTACTTTGCTGCTATAGCTGATGTAAAATATGATTCTTATATCCCAGTTAATGAAAAACCTGAGGACCGCTATCACAGATCAATAATAAATACATTTGGATCCTTCTGCTTTTTTTCAAAACGTAACTGAAAACACACTTAAGGGCTGCCACTGAAAAAGCTTTTCATATAGAAGTGTATTGTGGGCTTTCAGGTGACCCTGCAGCTGAGGAGTGGTCCCAATGGAGCGTTTGTTCGCTGACCTGCGGCCAAGGCTGGCAAGTGAGGACTCGATCTTGCGTCTCGTCACCGTATGGGACTCTGTGCAGCGGAGCCCTAAGGGAAACGCGCATGTGCAACAACACTGCTGCCTGTCCAGGTGATCCTGGGATCATCAGCTCAGGTACGTTGTGTAACCCAGTGATTCCCAACCACGTGGGAGATCAGTAGGTGTGTCGCGGAAAATTAGCCAATCTCCCAAAACTAGTATTTCTTGCAAATAATTTTTCTTTGTTTGTCAAAGCAATGAAATCCTCTTCCACTAGGTGGCAGCAGATGGTTATTAAAACTAAGAAAATATTATCAGAGCTTTTGAAGAAGATCTTTGTGTCTTTCTTCAATTCCTGCCAGTATATTAGCATTGTCTTCAACTTAACAGGAGTGAGTTTTTTAGAACATTACTTTATTTCCTCATATATATTTTTTGTGAGATTCTTGTTCGGTGGTGTGCTGTGGGGTTTTTTTTCTTATGATATGTATGTGCCATGGCCCAAAAAAGGTTGGGAAACACTGGTCCAACCGACACTCATGAACGCTCATTTCATTCACATACAGCTTAACTTGCTGTAGCTTCTAGTCATGGTGACCCCTTCAGGGTCCATTATCTGGTCCAAGAGGATTCCTTGTTGTCATGGAACACTTTATATAACATACATATTTACATGTATCTAGGGGTACTTGTTTTTTTTTTTTAATTTTTTGAGTTGCATATAAATGTGTTTTGCTTTCTGTCTATTATTTAATGAGTGCCTTATGTAATATCTTTCGTCGAGGACCTTGCAGCAAACACATTAATTGTTCATTTTTGTGTATATTATGTATTTACTGTGGCTCCAGACGAGTCAGTTTCGTGTCGCATACGGCGTTAAACGTAACGTCTTTGCTGCTGTATTTAAATGTCTTTTTAGAAAAAAACAACAAACAAAACATAAAGGCACAAGGGAAGCGACAGAAACATTTTCCTTCCCTGTTTGTGCATATGCTAATCTTGTTTTTATGCAAATGGACCGGAGCGATTTGTAGGTCTAAGTACCTCATTTTCCATTCTGTGTTGATATTAATATTCTCAGCTGTGCCTTTGATGGAATATTGGTGGCTGCGTTCTGTTCCGTTTCATGTTTGTTTATTTATTATATCACTCTTTTGATGTTTTTTTGACATGGTTCTTGAGATATATGTGGGCACTTGAGGGACGGCCAGGATGGGTTTACACCGATTTCACAGTGTCGCTGGAATTTGAGGTTGCCGGGGAAGAAGAGACGTTAAATTGTGCGATGCACTCCCTTCAATTTCTATCAAATTTTCATATAAATTAATATTATTTTATGCTAAGAGGGAGTCGACTTGATTTATCTTGTCTTTACTGCTGGACCTGGGGCACTTCGGGCACTGGTCTGATCAAAGTTGTAAAGAAAAACATTGTTCACAGAGCCAGAGAGAAACACAAGAAAATACACAGCACCGACGCTGCTACATGAAAGTTTTAAGATTTAGATCATCAATCCAAGAAGCTGCGGTCACTGAGTTGTTATTGCACCCAGTTTCTTTCATAAGCAGCAAAAAGGTCCACATCTTTTAGACAGTTTGTAGAGAAAGTTGTAAAGAAAAACATTGTTCACAGAGAATATACACAAAGAGAATAGTTCGTCCAATGGTGGTCGGGTGCTGTGGTCAGAGATGAGGGAAGCTGCAGAATGAAGAAAACAGAATCCATCTGCTCTTCAAAATGCCTGATAAAATCTTGCAGCTCATGGTTCAACACTTTCATTGGGTTATTTTTTTAACTATATTTTGCCGGTTTACGATCCGTCACAAATTAAACTCTGGAGATATAGGCATTGACTGGGCTTGTTTACTGCACTGTAAGAAGAAATGGTTCTCCAACTATTAAATGCTTCGGTCGGTATATCACCCAAGTAAATATGTTTATTTCAAATAAATGTAGAAAATGATAACTCGACAATCTGTTGAAGCCCGATTACTTGACTGTGCATCTGCAGCCTGCTGCAGCAGTCAACATTAAAGACGAATACACGAGACAGAAAACCAATAAGATAAAATCATTTCTTCAATTTTATTCACGGTTAAAAATGACAGTGATGCAGACAATCAATCCTAAGCATAGTCGTGCTCTTGACAAGGCAAACAAGACAGTGAGTGGTGGACAAAAAGTATCTTTATCTTCTTTTTGGTGTACGGGGTGTGGGGGATGCTGCAATTAAACATCCGCTCCAGGATATGACTTTGTTGACAGTGCAAAGTGAAGTCGTACCCTCTGGTTTGTTTTGTTTTCCTTCTGTTCATCTGCCACAGAGTAAGTGACATTTAGAACGTGTAGCAGAATAATCGTGCATAATGAATACACATTGTCCAGGTCAGTGAGTAGTCACATGCTTCAGTGCGGCACCACAAGAAATGGAGGACGCACACATGCAGGGAGACGTGGGCCCACAGCCTAGAAACCAGTCTGTTCGTATACGGTGGAATTAGACAGTAACAATAATATTTAACAATAATAATATGATATGGTGCATTTTTACTAGACATATCAGGTGACACCATCTGAATTCTAGACAAGCCCACAAGGGGTCACGACCTCAGGATTGTTGATGTCTTATTGATGCATGATGCCCTGAGCTACATTAGAGTGCAAATGTAAGTATTTCCAATACTTTTCCTCAAAATACTCTTAGGTCTCTTAACTTCAGAGCGCTGGTATGATATTGCAGGTCCTTATTTTGAATCCGCTAACATTGCCAGTCAGTCAGATCTGGAGATTCCTCTTGGACAAGATGTGGAACGTCTTCAAATAACCAACACAGTCCTCTTGCCAAGTTCTAAACTGCATCATGAAAGGACTTAGAACCTGCACACACACGTACATAACTTGCCGACCCACTTGGCAAAGACAGCTAAGAACAGGGGTGCGTTCCATTTATAGAGCACTGCTGCCTCTCCGTTAGCTGTTGCACACTATTAGCATAGGGAAGATAATGTTTATTCTGGCCAACAGAAAATTTTTGCCAACTGCAAATTGAATTTAGGTTCTTGTTACCAGGTAGCCAATATTGCAGTTTAACTTTAATCCTCGAGGTGCTGTCGTCCATCTTTATTCATCTGCCCAATTGTACTTCAAAATCAGAGCTGTTTAAAGCCCAATTTTATGGTCTAAATGATTGGTTTTGCCCAGTCAAAATTCAGATGCTCTATATGAGGTGGAAAAAATAAATAACACAACTGAGTTGTTGTTTTTTTGTTGATTTTGTCTGCTGTTATTGTATTACGGAGAGGTCTATTTGACTGCAGGAGATTTAACAACTCAGATTTACTTCTCAGAAATCTGCTTCACTTTGAGTTTTTTTTTTTTCATTATCGTTGTCATGACTTTAATTTATGATGATTTGATTTAAAAATATAATATAATATTTACTCAGAATCCTTTAGTCATGGCAAATCTCAAGGGGATGCCAAAAACGTCAAAAAAAAAAAAAAAAACCCAAGTCCTCTGTGTTATGGCTGTAGAACAATAACAACAGAAAAATGGAGTTAGTTTTTCCTGGATGTGACATTTGTTCTTTGGTCAGTTGTTAGATGAGCAGAGAACCCTGAGCAATAACAATCTGCAGAGTGACAGACTCGTTCAGAGTGACAGCAACGTTAGGCATCGGAGAATAAGCCTGAATGATTCACTTTAGAGGGTAAGACGCCCAGAAGTCGTACTGTGGGCGTCCATTAGCGATCGTGGCTCATGGCTGAAGGTTGATTTGTGGCGGACTGGCATGTGACCTTTCTGGTTGATGATGACTCGACACATTGCTGTATTTCCTCCTCATCTGTCATGTGTCTCTGATCCCGACAGGCAGACCTGTGAGAATGTGCATTTTAGTTATGCAAAAGTAAACCATGGCCTCTGGTTAGTATGAAGTCAGACTTTGTGTGTGTGTGTGTGTGTGTGTGTATGATGGTAAAGTGAATTGCAGATGTATCCTATAGTACTACAGCAGTACTTCTGACATTTACTAGTTTGGGCTGTAGATTAACTGGACTTAAATATTCTGTGAGTTACTCACTGGAATACATTAAATTTAAGTTTGGAAATGTTGAATACATGTATAGGATTTTTTCAGCATATTGTTACAGTGCAGTAAAGTATCAGCAAATATATTTTGGTCTGAATAACTAAGATTTTAGTTTTTTAGGATTATTATTAATTCATAAAATGCTACTACTTTATTATTATTTATGGCATATTGGCATTATATATATAGTATATTATATGAACATTATAATATATATTTTTTAAAGATTTTAATATATATATACATTCTAATGATAATTTAAATATTAAGAATTTATTAGGTGATTATGACTTTTTCCCATAATTGAGCAGCCCAGCCCATATGGGGTGAATTTGGCAGAGCTATGTCTCGTAGACATTCCCAAAAAACATGCCTGGAATAAGTTATTCTTCGTGTGTGGCTTGGATCTGCTCATTTTAGATTCAAATTATAAATTGATTCTGGACTTTTAGGTGGAGTATCACAATATTTTATCTGTTGTTGCCTCAAAAGTGTCTCTCCGTGATCTTTCTCATTACAGCCATCCACTCTAGTGTATTATTTAACATGTGAGGACGTGATTTATGCATGTTACATATATATGTATCACTGTTTCCCATGTTTGCACATTCCGATGCTTCCCTATCCCTTCTCTCGACCTTCTGCTGCTCCTCCACTGAAAACCTCCTTCATAGTGTAGATTCAATTATTTATCAGCATGACTTATTCAGCTGTACTCAATACAGGACCGGCAACCTCCATGCTGCTGTTTCTGACTTTCACTCCCTCCGTCCTTGTGCACCCACCTCCTGTGATGTTTTCCTTCCACCTCCTTCCTTGAACCCCTCCTGGCCAACGTCTCTCTTTCTTCTCTTCTTCGTCACCTGTCTGTCGTACCGCATGTATGTAAACCTAATTAAATTGTTTGCTGATTTTATTTTTTTTAAATGGCCCATAATCATTTATGTTGTCATGTCATCTTGTAGATGAGACTTTTTTTTTAACCGGGGTGTCAGTTCCGTTTTACCTGTGTGGATGCGTTTGCTTGTAGGATGTAATCACTGTCAGCCAGACACAGAGGAGATCACTGAAGGCCAGCACTAATTAAAATCACTGGCTTTAACTCATGCACATTGTCTAGTCAAGTTTTCTGGCAGGTAAATAAAGGGAAATATGTTTGTCTGTTTGAATCCGATATAAGAGTCAATATAAAAGAGAAATGGGTTGAACAAGGACATTTATGTGTGTGTTCTTTTATAATTTGCTTCTCTGAAGACGAGTTCAGCAAACATATCAAATTCATGTTTCTAAGATTTGAGGGTCAGTTGTTAGACTCCATTCTCTTTCATGTGCAGTATTAACTCCTTCCTTCTTTAACTGGAATGTGCTTTGACTAAATTTTTATTTCTCTCTCATTCTCTAACCCCTCTTCGCCGGCAACGTGACACCCCTCCCCACCCCCCACCCCATTTTCCCGACTCCTCATCCCCATCTTGTGTGTTTGTTTGTGCATCGTACCCGCCGGTGTTTGCAGTGCATGGGCTTTGGGATGAGTGGTCGTCATGGAGTCTGTGCTCCGTGACCTGTGGGAGAGGCTCCAGGACACGAACCAGGAAGTGTGTAAATGGAGGCGGGGCTCTGGCCTGCAGACGGCCCGAGGTCCAGACCAAACTCTGCAACATAGCAGTGTGTCCTGGTTAGTACCATCTCCATTTACATTCAACATCCACTCACTTCTTCTTTAGCTTCATGCTTTGGCTTGTTTTATCAGTCGTTAGCAAAGGTAAGGTCATGAGCACATCACATTGAAAACATTGTAACATTTCTCTACATTGCATGTTGGCTTGTATATTTTAGCAGTAAAAATTTAAAATGAAAAAACTTTTATTACAGTTATTTGATTGGCTAAAAAAATGGCCCCTAATTGGCTGGTGAAATGCAGGCCTATGACTACTGAAAAGGAGTTTGTAAACTCAAAATCAGATGGATGACTATAAATGATCTAAGTTAAAGGAAGTCTTTGTAAATGAACTGCATCCAGAAAAATTGGGGAAAAAAAGCTGCATTTTTACAATCCTGGTTAAAGTTTAACAAATGATAACCGATGCTGGCTGATCATCAGTTGGAAATGATTTGCAGCTTTTCTAGCATTTCCCATTTTGTCATGGTGTTAATGTAGCGTAGTCCTCATCTTTCCAGCCTCCTCTGATTTATATCCATTTTCAAACTCTCACTAAATCATCCTCCAGGATCATTGCCCCACACAGTCTGCAGGTTGGACTACAACGATTTCTTCATAGTTGGTTGGTCTAGACTTTTTTTGTGCAGTCTTGCGGCCAGTTCCTGTACTTGTTTTGAAGTTCTTAGGGCTTAGATTATTTCTAAGTGAGTAAGTTTTGTTTCACCAAATTGTATTCATTGTAAAGATGTGACTCATTGCCTAACACTGGTGATTGGGAATTGTTCCTACATGGTAGAGGCCACATTGTGGTCACACACTGACCATAGTGATAACAATGTTTGACCACAGCACTTGTATGCATTTTAGAGTGAAAAAAAGGATAACTTCTCTATGCAAATTGTTGTATTAGAAAACTTAGGGAATTAATATTCCACTGAAAACAAATAAGAAAAATAGATCAACTGGTGCAGAGAGTGTTTTGCATCTAAAAGCCTCAGGCAACAACAATGCTAGACGAATGACCAGATGAACATCTAGAAGACTGTGTTCACAACATTTGTTCAGTTTATACATCTACATACTGCAGTATTAGCTGCATAAAAACTGTCTTTACATGAACTTTGACCTTGAAATTTAGAGATGTTAAATTATTTGTTGGGATAATCTCCTCCAAAGTAATTGTGTGTGAAAAAGATAGGTAGATAAGTGTGATAAATACATAAAAACATTTCTGTTTGTTGCTTTCCTTTTCGTTTAAAAGAGACAAATTTATTCTGAATTAGATTGAAATGAAGCCGTAAATGGACTCAGACATTAGATGTTGGGCAACACTCTCCTTAATGAATACCTGGTTTTCAGTACTTGGAGACGAGATGTTTGTTTGTAAAAATCCTCACAATACAAGTGCTTTTTTTTACCAGAGAAAAAAAGTATGATTACTGCATCTGCCACTGCACTGCAGATGAAACAATACTTTAACATCCTTTGAGCTTTCTCAAGGTGTGTAGTTCCGAGGGTTTGATCCATGCATTTACTTATTTATGCTTAATGGTTGTATACCAATTAGAGTCCAGGTTATAAAAGTCGTCTTTTCTGAATTGGAAACATGTGCCCTAATAAAATTGACACCCAGCAAATTTTCCCTGTATGCTTTGCTGCAGTAGATTTACAGCTACACACTTTAAGAAGATGTACAGCCGTGTGACGGTGCAGTGTCAAACCATGCACTTCCATATTTCCCCTCTCTCTTCCTATAACCAACACATACATGAGTACATATACATATACACATACAAGCTGCAGATTTCATTGCAACAACCATGGCATCGCATAAAAGCAAGTGGAAAAAAGTCTTCCATGAATTATTAATTTGATCACATCAGACCTTTTTGTTTTTGAGGTTTCGATCTGCAACAACCACTCAGAGACTCCCGTGTGGGCAGAGCGCTGTCTAGACCTTGTCTTCAAGTTTCTCCGCGCCTACATTTGTCTCTCTCATGGAAAAATAAACAGGTCATAGCAAGGCGTGAGTGAGGATTAATTATGATATGTTAATCATGGAGAGATACCGCTCTACCTTGGTTAATGAAAGCCAAAGTTTGTGTACTCTTTTAAAGTCATTTTTCATAGTCTTGTGTTTTTACTGGAGCTCTGGTCTTTTTTGAAAAATGGCTTGAACTAGGTTTAATTTGTGCTTTTCTTTGTTAAACTTCTGCTAGTTTTCACTTATGACAATGGTATTTGAAAGGTATTGAAGCAGGCAACAGGTTTAGAGTAGATATTGTTGCCATTAAAAGCCCCTATTGTATGTGTACTTCTGTATTTGTCACTTGGACCATAAAGTTCTCTCATGCAGCGAACTACTGTGTCAGAAACTTCTCGTTTTACTTGCACGGCCTGAAAAATATTATTCCGTTGTTGCAAATAATTTTTGGTTGTCTATGTGACAGTGGCAGTATATATATATATATATATATATAGATAACTACAACACTTTCTTTCTTCAATTCCTGTGAGTTCATTAGCATTGTGTTCAGCTAAACAGGCTGCCGTTGCACACTGAGGAAGTATAAGTATTGTTAGTAAAATAAGAAGACTCTAGTAACTCTTGTAGTTACTAGAAGATTTATATTATGTTATATTGGATATTTACAATGTTAAATATATACAGTGGCTCGGTGGATAAAGGTTGGGAATTAAAGACTGAAGGAGACCAGCTTCCAATATTCAGCATGTGAAGTGTGCAGATTTACTTTTTATTGCTCATTTTCCTTATTGTGATTAAACCTGCACTATTAATATTATATTTACTCCTTGAAGTGAAGAAAAAAGTTGTGTAAAAAATTCTTCTTTGCAGTTATTATCACTGAGAGAGTTAATGAAATGTTTTACTGTATGCTTTATTGTCCCGGAGTCTCTTTGATTTTTATGGCGAGCGACTTCACTGTTTTGGTTCAGTCTCCAGAGTCTCACCAATCTTGTTACCTTTCACAGGCAGCATTTATCTACTAAATAAAATATGATGCCCAGCCTGTGGGCGCTACGGAGTCAAAATAGAGTCAATCAATTTGTGTTTATTTTCATGTTTATTTCTGCACATTTAATAGACAAGTGTTCTGGACTGATTTCAGTTCTTTTCTGCCTTGCTGTAAAAGAGGATGAATGGAAGAGAAAGCAGTGAGGCTGTCATGTCAATAGTCGAACTGGAGAAACAGCACTGAGAGTGACATTGGACATATTCCTTTCAATTTGTTTGTGTCTAGGAATAAACAAGGTAATGTCTGTATAAAAGTTTTATTATACGGTGGAGGTGTATTTCAAATACTTTCTCTTTGCTTGTTATTCAGTAAAACCAAATATTATGAAGATTTCAGTAGTTTTCAGCTGCAGCTATAATATATTTCTAATGAAACACCTAACTTAGTCTAGTATATATTGGCTGCATATGCAGGGCTAATGTATTTCTAGGATTGTTTTGGCAAATCATATTGAATAATCTATTTAAAGTCCTAATTCTATAATATAGAAACTAGATATAAAATGTATTAATATCTAAATCATAACATAAGGTCGGAAATACCTGTCTTGATTGGAGTGGACAGTAGAGACTTACATGCAAAAAAGTGGCGTGCAATGTATATATTGTGCTGAGACTTGGTTTACTTTACTACTTTACAGTAAATAAAATCCAACATGTGTATTTAACTTGTACCGTTTTGCAAGGCAATTCAATGATTGGCAGACAACAGCAAGATGACTACAGTAAAACACTTTCCAGCCAATGACATGCTGCGGTTCACAGGTGTTACAATAAGCCAATCAATGTAATCAACAGCGCTCGGTGCGTGCGTGCGTGCAGCCGTTTTGCAGGATATTACAGCAGAAGTGCGGACCGAGGCTCGTGCATATCTCACCAAGCCAAATTAAAAAATATATATGCGGTTTGTTTAAGCTCGAATGGCTGTCGGGGTGATATGCAAACAGACTGGGTAAATACGTTGGTTCAGCTTTTGCGTCTGCTTTTCTATCCGTCGCACAGTACCTGCCGCTGTTACTGTAAACTGTAATTCATTTCTGCTCGTGGTCTTTGTATATATGCATAGAGTTTTTGTTCAGACGTGTAACTTTATTTACTTTCTCTTATCTCTATTTTCTTTTTTCTCCAATCATCGTCGTTGCACCTGTTAAATCCCATCTACCTCCCATCTCTGGTTCCAGTGGAGGGCAGGTGGTCGGAGTGGGGGCTGTGGTCCAAGTGCAGCGTCACCTGTGATGTAGGAACTCAGCAGAGGCAGAGGCGCTGCGGCGCGTCCGTGCACGGCTGGGCCGAGTGTAAGGGGCCCCATCAGGAGAGCAGGGAGTGCACCAACCCTTCATGTAGTGGTGAGTATATAAAATGATACATTTACAGGGAGGTTAACACAGCATTTTAAGACAAAATTTGTTTAATACAGTTATGGAAACGTTAAAAATGTCCATCTTTGCAGAAGCAAGTCCTGAAATTTTTTAATTTTTTTGGTTTGTATTTCTGTTTGGCAAAAAAATAAATTGAAATGTTCTTTCAAACTTCAAATTATTAATACATTGAAAAAATTGAACAGAACTAAATGCTTTAAAAATTGTATCAAATCAAAACATCTTGTGTTTGACTTCCTAACACAATAATGCTACTTTTGTGATTTTCTATTTGCTCATTTGCATTTTGTGGTTGGAGGGATGGTCATGGTGGGATTAGGATTCATCCTAGAACATTTTTTTCAACTAATAATCTTAAAGGTGACTCTTGTTCCGACTCTTTTTTGTATGTAATATTTTAACAATAATAATGTTTTGTTACTTTTCAGGTGGAGGTAATTGGGCCAGCTGGAACCACTGGAGTCTCTGTAGCAAGACATGTGACTCCGGCTTACAACGTCGCTTCAGGACATGTGAGGACACCGGTGCAGAGGGCCTCCCTTGTGATGGCTCAGGGGAGGAAGTCCGCTCCTGTAATGAGAAGAAGTGCCCAGGTCAGTGCTGCTGTTGTGACCAGAAAAAAAGGTGGAAAATCCACATATAAACATCTTTGTATTCTTTTAGAGGTTCATCATTTGGTGTGTGTGTGTGTTTGTGTGCACGATCAAAATGCCCACACACAGTATCTGTCAGGCTGAACTGAGTGGATTTACAGTGCGAGTAAAAGCCGCAGCCGTAGTTTCAGAACAGCGCCTGTCTCATCTTTTCTGCCCCGTGTTTGTGTCCCTGTCAATTCACACAGCCATCCGTCTCTGGCTCTTTATTGATTTATTTGAATTTTTTTTATTTAATGTCCTTGCCATGTGGCGCTTGTCTTTTCCCCTCTGTTTACTTGTTTACCTACTTTGCCCTCGCGCCACTCCGTGCATTAATTAGGTCGACAAAATGCAAATGACAGATTTCGCTGATTTTTCACAAAGCGTAAAAACAAGACAAATACGCTGCTCGATAAAATTGAAGTAACACTTTGTCATCGCTTGCCGAACGGTAAGACACCGGTATTTAGAAGTAGAAGTCTGACCACTTGGTCAGCAGAAGTGTTTGTGGATTAGGTTCACTTGTATTGATGCGAGTTATCAATGTGTGAGGCGTAAACAACACCAAAGACAAAGGGTGAGCGGCTGCTGACGAATGCTCCATCTGTGTTTATATGACAAGTTCTAGCACAACCAGGCATCTGCAACCCACTCCTGTTGTCTGAGTGGGAGTTAACAAGTTTTGGTTTATTACCCGGTTTTCAATTCCATCCCAGAAATTAAGTTGTCGTACAAGGAGCCTACATAATAAAGGTTGAAGAGCATTGACCTGGAATCAGGAACAGGATCTGGTATCGTGTGAGGTGACTGCCACTGCCCCACTGATTGACCTCCATCTCAGTGACCAACACAGATCAGAGGGATTGATGTTTAATTGCCAGCCACTGGCAGCAGCCTATAATGAAAAGATATTCAAATCTTGACAAAGAGTCGACAGCCTGGAGATGCTGAGGGAAATATGATGCTTCTTTTGGCGTGGTCAGATGGGTGGCACAGTGGGCTTTAAAAAGGAGTCCAACTGGATGACGTCTGGTCCACTTCACTCATCTTACACACAAACTCTATCAGACAAAAAAAAAACAGCTATACAAAAGAAAAAAAAAAAAAAAGACCAGGGGACAGAAGGGATAGAAACAGCCATGCCAAGGAGAAATAATCCAACTGAATAAAAGCAGTTGAAGGAGAGGACACATAACAGGAGCGAACATCTGACAGTTATTAACTCCATGAAGAGAACTCCGCAACTGGAGTGAATTCAAAAAATGACATCTTGGCCTTTTCTCTGCTGGATCAGTAATAACATACTCACTTTTGGCGTAAAAGCTGAAGGACGTTTAGCTCGATAGTTTTTGTCCACATTCCAACTTTTGTTGTTGTTTTTTTTTTGGACAGTAGCCAACTTCTGCAGACTCCCAGATCTGACATCTTGACAAGAAGCAATTTAAAGATTATTTTTTCACTTTCCTTAATATTTGGTGTGAAATGCAGAAATGCCATGTGAATATAAACTGAAGAGAACTGAATTCCACCGTCTTCACCAAGCAGCGTGGCACTATAGGCATGTAAACGTGAACAAAGCTGTCTGCCAAAAAAACAAATATGATGCTACATGCCCATATGTTCTCACATTTGTCTCTGACACTTTCAAACAATACATTTTCGGATGCAGCCTGCAGCAGGAACCAATGGTTTTCTGAAGTTCCTACATGTTGCCATTGCAGGGAGAACACTGTATCTTGTTTTCCCTCTCTCTCTCTCTCTCTGTGTGTGTTATCCTCTCTTTGCTCTTCATCACTCCTCTCTCGCCTGCCCCCCTCGGAATATCTTCAGAGTGTCGAGCGCCATTTTTTCATCAGGCTTATGAAAAAGAAGGGAAAACACAGAAGAATAAAAAGAGGTGGTGAGATGAAGAGGGAGTGAGATACTGTACCGAGGCAGTGACACTGACAGAGAGCACTGAGAAATGTACAGGGGGGGATAGGATTTGGAGCTGGTGCAGAAGAACATTGATTTGAATCTTGTTTTTGTGCTTATCTGTCTCCTCTTTTTTTCTGTCAGCGAGAATGTGAGAGTGTATGGTGATTTTTCATCTGCCGTGAGCCCTGCCACACTGTTCTTCCCTCACTCCTCTCTAACTGTCTTTTTCGCCCAAAATCTGCAGCTCCGCATGAGATATGCAAAGAGGAGCACCTGCTTTCGATGTCGTGGAAGAGAGCCTCAGCCGGGGAAACTGTCTACAACAAGTGTCCAACTAATGCCACTGGTCAGTAATATTATGTGCCCTGTGGCTGCACCGCTGTTAGCTTTGGGATTTGATTGTGTTTGCAGAGTTTTCACAACAGTGAGTTCAGCCGAAAGCAGAAGACCGTCGGTGCAGAACAGACAGTAGAAAGTGTTTGGCTCTTCCTCTTTTTATGAGAGCTTTGTTTGTCTAAGAAATCCATGCTGCTCTTTGTTGTGGCGCACAAGCAGGTAGACGACGCCTAATGTATAATTTCTAACAGAGCTGCAGGAAAAACACCTCATTAGAACAATGAAAATTGTATTCAGGGTACGGATAAACAGTTTTCGGTTAAATTTAACGGAGTTCTCCTCAGACTGTTTTATTGTGTTTATTTTAATATTTATATTTTTATTTTGGGATACTCACGGTAGTCAGGAATCCATGCAACATGGTACTTTTAATCACCACAGCAGACCTGCCCTGGTTCACTGCTGTCAGAACCAATCAGTGTGGATCGTTACACTGTTTCTCAAACAGCAGGCTGCCAGTTTTATTTTTCTGTTCGCTTCCACAAACAGAACACAGAGCAAACCATTTTTAAATATTCTCCTACACATATTAAGCTGAGAGTGAACATATTTCATCATTTTACAATGTTGCAGTTTATTTCCGTTTATTGTTTAATGGTAAGTACATGTTTGAGCAGTGGTTCTCAAAATATAGTTCGTGTTGCATTGGCGGACCTCTGGCTTTCTCTGTTGGGGTCTAGAGGAATTTTATTTTGATTTGGTATTCATTTCTTTTAAACAGTGTTGTCAAAATATTAACATAAAATATAATTAAGGGTTGAAAAAAATGTGAGCCAAATATTTAAAACCTGAACTCTGTGGCTGCAAAGAAAAATCAGTTCTTCCAATTAAAAATATCTCTTAACAAATTTCAAGAAGCTTGTCAAAATAAAAATGAACTCTATTGAGAAGATGAGTGGAAAACTTCCTCTCAGTGCCCTAAATAAAATATAAAACGGTGAACTTCAAATTTGTTTTCATTTTTAGAATTTTTCTTTTTTTTTCCCACCTGGTTTGTGAGAATATTATTATTATTATAATTATTATATACATACACATATATGGCATTATCTTTCCTTTATATTTCTTGTTTCTTTTCTTCATTTCATACTAAACTTTTATTCTGTTCTCTTTTCTTTCAGGGTCTGCTAGTCGTCGTTGCATGCTGGACAATAACGGAGTTGCTTTCTGGGGTCCTCCGAGCTTCGCCAGATGCGTCTCACTTGAATATAGATATTTACATATATCTGTAAGTAACCCTTCTACAAAGTGTTTAAAAAGCCCCGGAAGCTTCTTCCCTACGGTTATGGTTTCTGCTGTTTCATCAACAGGAATGTTTATGCTTGTGCGAAAGAAACGTTTTCACTCAGTGGTTGCGGTCTCCAGTTTAGCATTTAAATGCCTGTCTCATGAGTATAAAAGAAAGCGAAGCCTCTGTGTGTTTTTAAAGACCTGTATTTATCTTTATTTTTAATTAAACTTTTTTTCTGTTAAGACTACATCAAATTAGAGGCATCACTTGCCTTGAGGCCTGCAGGTTTCTTTAAATGATCTTTCCAGAGCTTTGAGCTCACATCTATTGATGCAGAGGGTGAAAGAATGTGTTCCTCAGACGTAGTGTTTCCTGTCCCTGTGAATTTCAACCTTTTTTTGTCTCCTTGATAACGGCAGAAGGACCTAGGGGTCAGCCGACTGCTCGTCTTGCGTCACGTCCAAGCTTTCATTAACACCACGAGTCAATAATTAATTTTCTCTGATTGCTATAATCCTCAGCTCTTCAAGGTCCCCTGCCCTCCGCATCCATTTTCACACACGCTGAATTCAAACTCTCTTGCTTTTCATATCTTTCTGTAAAAAGGATGAGTACTGACACCTGACTGAGATTGCTGCCGGGCTTGTTTGTGCTCACCTTTTTTTTAAACACAGGCACAACAAATTTCAGCTGTGTAAATACAGGCTCGACTCTCATCCCAACATACGACTGTAGACACTTTTACCAGCTGCATTATCCCGGCGACAAAAACCCAAAGCGACACTTATTCTGTCTCTTTCATGTCACAGTTACGAGAGCATCTCGCGAAGGGTCAGAGGACCCTGGCCGGGGAGGGCATGTCTCAGATCGTACGGAGTCTCCTGGAACTGTTGCAGAGGAGGAGCTACTACAGTGGCGACCTTCTCTTTTCCACGGAGATCCTGCGAAATGTGACGGACACCTTCAAAAGAGCAACCTTCATCCCAGCTCCCGACGACGTGCAGGTGAGCGGAGCGCTAACCTCACATCTGCACAATTAAACCGTGAACAGTTTCACACGGATATACCTTTGAATTATTATAATAATGCAGGGCACGTGTGTCAAACTCAAGGCCCGGGGGCCAGATTGGGCCCTTTGACTGGCCCATGAAACGATGCCCATGTCCTTGTTATGAATTCTTGTTAGTACATACCAGTGTATTCACTGCATTAAGTATCAGTGTTCATGTGAGCAAGTATTTCCTCTTTCACGGTCTGTGCATTTTTTTTATTATCTTTTTTTTTAAATACAGCATTTACAGGATTCTCTAGTTGCAACCAACGTTTACAGGACGACAATGAGTGTAACATATATTGCTCGTTAATTCCTGTTTTTCCTGTTCTGCACTTACTGTGTTTTTTTTGGTTGTATTTAGAAATTTTTCCAGATAGTCAGTCTCATGTTGGACATAGAGAATCTGGAGAAATGGGAGGATGCACATCAGGTAAAGTCCTGCCCTTGTCTTGCTTCAATACTTTACAATTGTCCCTGGCCGTCTGCTTCACTGGGTGCTGTCCTTATGTGCATTAGTATAGCTATGAATGTGTGTGGCTCAAACACTGCCCGTGTACATACACATACAGTATAATTTTTCATTATTACGAACATAAAAACACACCTGTTCAATAAACTCAGTCCTCGCCTATTAATCACATTTAACAACTATGCGTTTTTGTGACCCGTTGTGATGCCCTTGATTTGAGGTGTGTTTACTTGCCATCTGGACACAATAAACGTTCAGGCCACTTTGATATCACATCCAGCACGGCGGTGGTTTGCCACCACCCCGGAACACAACTGTTGGTCTAAATAATTGCATTAATAAAAATGTTTAAGTGGCTTAAACGTGTCTTATAAAAAAAAAAAAGTTGTGATTAAAGTCGTGTTTTTCACAGGTCGCTCCCGGTGCTTCCTTGCTGATGAGGATTTTAGAGGATTTTATTCACCTCATTGGAGAAGCCCAGAAGCCTTTTCAGAGTTTTCTCGTGGTCACAAACAACCTCAGTGAGTGTCACACAATTCTAAGATGGATCATTTCACGCTGTTCAAGAAATTCACTTTACCAGAGTTTTCACTTTACCAGAGTTTATATATATATTTACATAAATATATATATATATATATATATATATATATATATATATGAAGTTTGGGTAATGCATCACTGACATCACATTCATCACTTTTTCCAAAACCGAGGAAATTTATATGTAGGCGTTTTCGCTGCGGAAGATACACTCCGTATCTTCCGCAGCGAAAACGCCTACATATAAATTTCCTCGGTTTTGGAAAAAGTGATGAATGTGATGTCAGTGATGCATTACCCAAACTTCATATATATATATATATATGAAGTTTGGGTAATGCATCACTGACATCACATTCATCACTTTTTCCAAAACCGAGGAAATTTATATGTAGGCGTTTTCGCTGCGGAAGATACACTCCGTATCTTCCGCAGCGAAAACGCCTCAATTACGTCACTTTAAACTTTGTTTCAGTTTGTGGTTGCAGCTTTTATTGCAGCAACGAATTTCTTTTGATTGATGTCTTTTGTCCAGTGATAACAATTCAGCGAGAGCCAGTGTCAGCAGTTTCCAGCGATATCAACTTTCCCATGAAGGGTCGGAGAGGTATGAAGGACTGGGCCAGGACAGCGGAGGACAAGCTGTACATTCCTAAAGAGGTCTTCACCATACCAACAGAAGGTACGGTCGATGGACTAAGGCACATAATAAGTACAGAGAACCTTATTTTTAATTAGTTTAGAAAGAAGTTAGAAACTCTTAAATATGTATAAAGTGTCATATACCTTCTTCAGTGACATTGACTTGAGAATAATTTTAAATAGAAACACCAACAGGTTTTGCTGTCACTTTTATTGAGTGGTGTTTTTGGTAATTCCAACAATTTTGAAGTTTCCCCATTTGACTTTTTGGCATCTTATGCCCGCTGTTACCTTTGACTGAACATTTTTTGGCCAAGGTCAGACATTTGATGGATTTAGCGATGTGTTTTATAGAGGCAGACATGAGCCCTCTTAAGGTCACTCAGGGATATAACCAGGAGGGATTGGTCTGTTGAACGTTTCTGGAGAGCTCTCCAAGAAGATCTAATGTCTTCTTATGTGAGGAGAGCTTATGCAGCCTCTTGAGAACTTCCACGGTCCTATTTTTAAACAATACAATTTTCCATGTGGTCTCATTTACCACCGTAGTGTAAGTGATGTGGCCAAATGCAGCAAAAAAGGGACATGGATTTTATGAAGAGATAGATGCTATCAGGAGACATTGTGAGCTAAATTGTGAAAGGCTCCACGGTCAGTAAAAACAGTTGAGAAAGTGTTTTATAAGAGACAAGGGAGTTGCTGAGCTGCCATCGAGGGCAAAGGTGGAATCTCACAGGAAATTAGACTGGCAGACTTCCTGTCTGGCACTTTGTCCCCTACTCAAATTAAACTTCTAAGAGGCTGCAGCCTGATAGAGCACTGCTATTTATTTATATATAGACAAACTGTACTTTATCTTTATCTGAACCCACCTCATCTAGAACCTTTTTTATAATACAGAAAATAAAGTTGTTGTTTTTCCTTTAACCAGATGGTTAAAAAGGCATTTGTACGGCAATGAATATTTTTTCTGAATTAATTGTTTACTTTCAAACTTCCCTTATTAAGCCATTTTCCAGAAACATAATTTTTCATCCTCTGTGACTCCTGGTGTATTAGGTCTGGAGCTGTATTTTCAGTCAGCATCATTCAGTAAATGTTACCATTCAGAGTACATATACCATTTAATGCATCCAGAGTAAGGAGATTATGTCTGGCCTTTGGCCCTGCGGGGTCTTTGCATATTCCCATCGGCAGTCCTTGAATTGAGGTCATCAGTTGATTGCTATCAGTTTGTTTGGTTCATTTACCCCGTAATGAAGGCCTATTTCACATAGACAGATTAAACATGCTCATAAAGGGCCAGTGGCTATGTTGTGTTGTGTGTGCTCTTGTGCACGCACCCACACCCATACACACACACACACACACACAGTCTATTGATAGGTTCATGAGTCGCTTGACTGGGCAGAGGCTGAGACTGTTCTTCACTGATTCCCGTGGCAGCAGTTACTCTGCCTCTATTGTTCTCTCTGACGCCTATCCACACACACACACACACACACACACACACACACATTGTTTGTACTGTTTCTTACCTTTAGACTGTTACTTGCGTAGAAAAACATCCAATAATCCACTCGGGGAGTAACTGGACAATCTGTAGTGTCCTTATTTGCACTTGTGAGGACAAACCACAAACCACATTTTTGTGGAAACTTTCACATTTTCACATCCTTAAAAAATAATAATTAATAATTAAATCACTTTCAGTATAATGTTTAGACTAGAACTGTTAAATAATTCAAGTTTCAAACATAATGAACACAATTAATCGTGATTAATCATGTTCATAGCCAAGCAGCGAAATGATTGCCGTGATCAATGTGACCAATCCAAATGATGGATTTACTTTAACTTTAACTTTAATTTGCCTCAAAGTGTTGATTGATTTTAGTCATTTCTCTGCGTCTTAACGATGGCTCGTAGAACGTGTCACAACAGGTTTTGCAGCTTAAGAAGCTTTGGTGAAGCCCTAATTCTCAGTCCCTTCACAGTCATTTGACGTGTGTCAGTCAGCTTGTCACCCTTAGACATTTGACCTGAGGTTGAACAGATGCTGGTCGTTGACATGGTATTTTAAGCTGCAGGATCTTTGTGAAACATTCTTTTCCACAGTGTGTGTAAATTACTGTATATCTGTGTACTGTATATCAAATGTGTGTTAGGCAACATTAGTTCATACAGTGCACATCATTCTGTCAATGCAAATCAAGACTCAAGGGAAACCATGGGGTACATGTATTAAGTTTTATTACAACTAAAGATGGAAAAGTAGTCCAAAATACACCAGCATGAAGTTGAGAGGAAAAGGACACATAAAACTCTACGGATGGAGTTTTCAATTTTTGATTAAAGCCATAAATAATAGCTCCGCATCAACACCACGCAGATCCTTCCCCTGACAAATGGCATATTAAAGTTCACAGCTGATGACTTGTGGTCGCTATTTTGTTAGATTACAGTTGGCCACCAATCATGTCGACAGGAAGAAGAGAGGGACAAAAATCTGTTAATGGGAAGTGTTTTTTGTCCTATTAATCATCCATTAGTGGAGGTCCGCTGCCCCCCCACACACACACACACACTGAGTCACAGTCTCTACACAACACACAGAATTTCTCATTTGCATGGCCACGCAGACACACCGTCTCTGATCTGTCCCACACGTGAACTTCTTTTTATGTCTGGTGTGGTTATATATTTATTTACCTGTGTTTTTCTCCACTTCGGTGTATTTTATTCCCCTGCGTCAGATCTTCTGTTTTCTTCTTATCTTTGTTCCCTCAGATTTTGCAGTGCCACCGGAGTGGAACCATTTTTTTTATATACTGTTCTCATTCGTCAGCCTGTTAATATGAGCCAGGCTTTTTCTTTTCAAGTATGTTGACTACAGATGCACCAAATGCATTTTGGCCAATTCCAATTAATAATAATAATTGTAAAGCGTTCTACACCTCAAGATGTTATTCTCATAACAAATAATAACCAAACATTTACCACAAATCATTAGTTGGTCACAGCTCATGTGCTGAAAATCTGAAGATCTTTTTGTGTCTATGCTTTTCACCTCGTCAGCCCCACATAGCAGCCTCTATAACTAATGATTTTGGATGAGTCACCCGATACCTCTGATCCCATCAATCCCCTCTCTGCCCCCTCCTCCCCCCACACACTCCCCCGGTGCTTCTTCATCACTTCTCTCAGTCTAAAGGGGTAAAACAAGGGAGTGACAGTCCTTAACATGAACTCCTTGGTTCCTACTTTCCCTCTTTGTCTTCCTTACTTGAGACAAAGTGACATTTGCGGAGGGACAGTCTGTCTCCTTCAAAGCCCCCTCTGCTCTTTTTGCTAAAGAAACATGGTTGGGCGAAGTCATGGCAGGTGATGAACAAGTCTTTAAAAGGTTGGAAAATCGGAAACATGGTCCAGTTATCTGCAGCAGCCTTGCAGAGAAAATTGAAAAAAAATGATCTCAACCCAAAACTGTTGGATAATGGCTTTACCACTTTTGCCAAAAAAAGTTCCCTTTTGAATGGACATGGTTTCAGTAGAAGGCATACAAATTACACAAAATGCGCCCACCCACACAGTTAGACTCTCCGAGTGCACTTTCACCCCAGAAGTGTAATTACCTCAAGTGTTGGGACGTAGCTGTCATATGCTTTTTGGAAGTGCTTCGCAATTTACAAACTCGTCTAATATAGTCATTGTAGCGTTTTCCACTGACGGTTTAAGAGTGAATGTAAATTGAGCTGCCGAGGGTTAGGAAACAGTCGTACTCCATCTCTTTACTAAGAGATATTTGTTCATGTAAGATTTGACTACACGGAGTAAATGCTAATACTAAATCTTTGCAGATCCTAAATGAAATAACAGGACAGCTAGTCTTAGTTGGGAGTAAACAACTGGAGCAGACCACTAAAGAGGCAAATATATGTGAAATATAAGTTCAATTGAAAGCGACTGTTCTAATGAGATGCAACGTTGTCTGTTTCAGAGATAGAGGCCGACTCTGAGTCTACCCTGTACTATGTCATCGGAGCCATCTTGTACCGCACGTTGGGCGTCATCTTACCTGCACCACAGTGAGTAGATTTTGTTCAAGACCAAAGTGTTCAGCTGTACTTGATGTGAAAGTGTTGTATTGTACCTGTTTCTTCCCTCAACTGTTTCTTTGCTTTTTGGTTTCTATTTTCAATCCTTTCACTAACATTCCATTTCATCTTATAAATCTCTCAGCCTGCTTTTTTTTTGTACTATTTTCCTCTCACACCAACTTCCAATTATTTTTGTTTTCTCCCAGTTCTTGCTTCCCTCCATTTACCTTCTATCTGCTAAATCTTCTATTTCCAGGGATATAACAATTTATAAAGGGCATTTTATTTTTTAGATGCCCTGAAATGTCATTTATACTAACATTTTTTCAGCAAATTCTGCTTTTTTTGGAACTCTTTACTAAGTTCTGTAACTTGCATGAAACTTTTGAAAGACAAGTTGGGAGAAATGAGATGGCCATGAAAAGCCATGATGTTGTCTGATACACAGTTGGCTCTGCTGTCGGCTCTTTTAATCAGGTCAACTGAAAGACATTTGGCCGAGGCACTATCTTCATGTCCATTTTTCATCTCATACTCTTTATATTTGTTGTTTTCTATATTTTTTATTTATGTTCATTGGTGAATATTTTATTGTCTCTTGAGCTTTACAGTTTCCCTCTTGGATTCAGAGCTGTGTTTAATGTGTTGTATATTTTTTCTTAAAAATCAACTCTCTGTGTGTTTATTTCTGTCTTCGTAGTCCACCTGCTGTGATCAACTCTAAGATACTGACGGTGACAGTGCGACCAGAACCCAAACCCAGTGAGCCCCTGGTGGTGGTGGAGCTGTCACCGCTGTTGAATGTAAGTTAATTTAGTTAGTCATCCGTGGTTTCCCATTATAAATGTTACCATAAACATCTTGATTTTTTTTTATTATTATTTTTGCATTTGTGCACTAAACAATCTTTGCTCAAGAAAATAAACGTATGTTGAGGCTTTTAGGGATCGCTCCTCTCCCAGATGACTCTTGTTTTCCCGAGTTCGGGAAAGTGCTGCACAAATTAAACACAGAGAATTGCCGGAATAAATCTGGATCTTTTTGACTTCCTTACGGTGCAGCGTCTCTAGGTGCCAATTCAGTTTATGTTACAGTCAAGCGTGTTATTATTAATGACTCTTGGGAAGAATTCAGTGGAAAGGACTAACTATAGGTTTAATGAGAGACCTCTTCATGGCCCAAATAAGACATTGGTTTCATTAGCCAGTCTTCTGGGCAAAGGTGGGAACAGCTTTGCAAATAATGTTGAATTTTTAATGGTTCTCTGAGGAAAAAAAAAACACAAAAGTCTTTCACTAAAATCCATCTTGTCGCGCCGCGTTGGGGTCCAGTGGTCAAATGTATTGTGTGAGTATTAATTAAGCAGATTGTGTATTTCTGTTTCATCCTTTAACAATAAGCATATTTATTCTTTTTTATGTTGGCACATTAGTATCAGCAGCTTTCTTTTACTTTTTAGATTATTTCACTTTGTCTTCCCTGACTACTGAGTAAAACTACTGCAGGTTGGACACCTATCTGGAGGACTCTGTTTTACTACTACTAATCCATGTTTGCTCCCTCTGTGTTTGTAACCCAAGGCCCCTTCTGAGACATTGTTAACATGTTGGAGATGTTATTAGCTTGCTGAAAACAGCACTTGAACTGTTCAGAATTTCTCTTTAAAAACTCAAGAGATTTGAAAAAAAGGTTCAAATCGATCCTGCAGAAGGTCAAAGTGTCCACGTTTTCAGAAAAGATGTTGAAATCAGAAATACCTGGATCCTGACCTCCTGGATCAAGTAGGAGCGGACAGACACCGAGAAGAAAATAATTCTAATGAACCTGTACTGCGTCTACTGAAAGGCTAGCAGAGCCTCTCGAACTGGGCACAAGGAAAAGCCTCTCTTTAGCCTTGTTTTCTACGTGAAAATCTACCTCCAAACACCTAGAGGATTTCACCTTTCCCTCTGATAGTGGAAGCGAAGCTAATGAGCGCCTGGATTTGGTTTAATAATCATTAGGCAAGGATATCAATTATTTTATTTCTACACAGAAACAAATGCACTTTTATTAACTTTTGAATTCTGTGGGAGGATTCATTTGAAACAGTGCAGCGGGTTTTGATTTTCTAATACGGAAACAAAGTTCGTCTTTCACAGCCTCTGGAAGCAGCTCTGTAATTATGCACACATTATTTCACTGCAGTTAAATGCAGCGTTAACCCACTGTTAGCTCAGCCCATCTACCTTGGCGTCAACTTCATTATGAACTCCTGAGCCATTATGTTACGTGAATAACAATGGAGGTCTAAAAGTAAAGCAAAGGGCTGGCTCAGGTCTGCTGCAGCCGTGGGTCCTTGTGTAAAAAAAAGAAGATTGGTTAGCTAATATATGCTCATACGCCTAACCGTGAAGTGCCTAGTGAAGCTAGTGCTCTTAGGTCATGAGCGATGTAAATTAAAGAAATACAAATATAGATGTAATTCTACTTTTAGATGCTAAAAATAGATGGTACTACATTCTATATGTGTTGAACCATGTTGTCCAATAAAGCTACACTCAGTCAATCAAAGTACCCCAACATATAGTTTATATAAGGTATATTCAGCAAATACTGTATAATATAATACTTTAGTAAATATACTGTTAATGTTTTGTTTTATTATTATTATTTAGGTAGATTAGCAAGAAAAAGTTTCACAATATACACTTTTGGGTAGTTGATTTTCAACCGTGGGGTTATAACCCCCACTTTGGTTTCTAATATTGTACACTTATTGTGTGCTTAGAACAGTTTTAGAGTAAAATAAACTAATATTAGCGACATTTAAGCTCTGCTGCAAAAATATTACAGAAAATAGTAGTTCTTTTATACCCAATTTTAGAACCAAGACGTGTCCTCCTTTGTAAAAAAACAAATGGAGCTGAGACCCCACATAAACAGGCAAGTGTTACTGCTATTGACTTCCATGGGTGAAAAAAATACAATGAATTGTTGTTTTTTTTTTTTTTTTAATCAAAAGTATCTTTTTAAAAGTTTTTCACCTTCATGTCCCCTTGAACCATTTTAAATGTTGATTTCATGGCAACCAAACGACTGTGGTTGCCATAATCTTAGTAGAAAACGACTGTTCCTTTCAAGTAAGAAAGATGACAGCGCTATTAAGGTAGATACTATCATTACCGCCATAAACACAGTTGTTAGGATCATTTTCCCTTCTAAGAGGCATCTGTCCGGCGGATGCTGTTATTATGTTATGTAGCACTAAAGCCAAGGCACATTGTGGGATTCAAGAATATCACTCCCACTACAGCCGTCAGATGCACAATGCCTCTTGATTGATGGCTGGATGTTACCAAAGCCTGCATGCTAATGTATGCCAGGGAACATCTAATGCCTTTGACAGTGCTGCGTGTGTGTGTGTATGAGGCAGAATAAAGTGCAGTCGTTCATCAATCTGTGTCACCTAGCCTCTGATCGTGTCTCTGTAAACATTGCATCACGGCGTCCCCTCCCTTCCAGCCGCGCATAAACCCAAAGATTCACTGATTCACAGGAGATGAGTTAGAAACTGTTCAGAGAAGGAGGAGGTGACCTTACTTGTAAAATATAAATCCTAATAGAGTTCAGACTTGAGTGTGTCTCACCTCCCTTTTTTACTCACTTAAAACACTGACCTTCAAAACAATAAATTTTAATCATTTTTTTTTCGTTGCCTACTAGTCAAGAAGATGTCATTTTCCTCTGGTAATTGTTGACATCATCCTGTTCATTATTGACAGCGCAGTCTGAATCCAGCACTGCTATAATTCCCTATGCCATAGGGGGGAGCTCAAAGCCAAAGTGCTTTATGCAGGACTGAAGGGAGACCAACAGACCTCTCTGTGTCGAACAGAGTAGCGACTTGTGTGAGCTTGTTCCCAAAGACACAGACATGAAGTGACAGAGTGTGTGTCTGTAGACTGCCTTAGGGAAACTGAGATGATCTGCCCTCAGAACCTGTTTTTTTTTTAACCATGAAGTCCTTTACTGCACAAGTTAATTTAAGTTCACAATCTCTGCTCCAGATCAGGAACCCTTAAAGGTAACCCTGGAACCAATCTCAATCCAATCTTGGCCAAATGGGTCACGCAGGTTGAAAGGGCATAGACTAAATCAGGGAAGATCACCAGTGGAACTGGCTTTGATGGGTCCTTTAAGGATATTGATCATGTGATTGATTCACCAATTGACCGAGTCTTTTTTTTCTTCTTTGTTCGCCATCGGGCATCACTGAACTTTGATTAACACATGATTTATCCACTGCTGCACCCCCGCCCGGTGATATGCTTCTGGGTTCATTGGTTCAGAGCCTCAAGTCTGAGGCGGTAAATTGCCAGACCTCGTTCAGTTGGACTTTATTTGTTTTTAAGTTTTTAAAACGAAGTTTCATTACATTTCAGGGTAGAATATGTGAAGGTTTTATAGACAAACGAAGCAGGCGAATGGACTGTATTAAGTGCTTCACTTGACTTTCAGCATTTACACACTTTCAAAGGGCCGTCTCTTACCAATAAGTACCTGGTATGCATGAATAGATTTTACCACTTCAGAGTTGTTCCTTCTGTTTTACAACTTTCCACTGTTGTTGGACTTAGGTGAAGACTTCGAATGCTTTTCAGCTTCAGGGTGTTTATGACCCCCAACTTCCTGTGTATTATTGTCCATGAAATGGCTTTTTTTTTTTGTTTTTTGTTTCTCGCTCTCTCGTCTCATTGCTCACAAACCCTTTTTTTTTTGTCTTTTTTTTATTTCCTGTAGAAACACCTATTTGTTGCTCCGTCTTCTGACAGTCATTCTTTCTCCATTTCTCCCTCCCACTGTCTTTTTCAATCCTTCCATTTCATTGTCTGTTTACCTCTCTCCATTGTTCACGCGGCATCACTCTTTCTCCTCTGGCGATGAGCTACTCTGTCTCCCGTCTGCCTCCTGTCTGCCTCCTGTCTGCCTCCTCCCATCTCACTCGATTCTCGACTATAACCTCTCGGCAATAACCGCTTATCTCCTCCCTCGTGTGTCTTGCAGGGTACATCAGATCCTCAGTGCGTGGTCTGGGACTATGGCAACCCGTAAGTTCTTTTCAGTAACTCTAATCCTTGTATCCGTGCAAGTGTGTGTGTATGTGGCACTAATGCATGCTAGTTGCCAGGATGTGTCCATGTGTCTCGGTGCTGATCTTGTTTGTGCTCTTGCTCGGCTTTATTAATGAAGTGAAACAGAGTAATGAAGTTCCCTGTGTCAGTGTTAATGAAATTAGTCAATGAGAACAAACTCGTCTCTCCCTCTGTTGCTAAGGCTCCAAAAGTAACGTAATTCACACGGGCTTAGAGGGGTGGCGTTTCTCGTCTCCCGTCTTCAGTGTTGGCTAAAGGACAGGGTAATAATGTGGACAGAATAATAATTGATCAGTCACTCTCTACTGTTTTGTATTTTGTATGTAGGCCAGTGAATCTTTGACACTCGGTAGTGAACCGGACACTGAGCAGAATAATGTAAACCATCACAATTGATCCAGGAGAATGTAACCATTAACCCACATAGTGATCTGGTCAATACCAAACCGGACATGTTTACAACCATCAACAAACAGATGGAATACAGACCATGGTACAGTGTAGCTTAATCTCAAGGTCAGTATACATAGCTTAAAATTCAATTCCAGTTTTTTTATTTCTGTAAAAGTAGTTCTGTTTCATCTACTTCCATTGGCATGTATTGTCAATTGTAACTGTAAACATTTGCAAAGCAAATTCTTAACTAATCAAAAAAATCAAACACAAATCTGTGCATTGTTCGATACTAAACCCCTTTTTTACAGACAGTGACAAATATGCTAGCGCTTAATCTAAAAAAAACATTGGACAAAACTATATATATATACATTCTACTCTTGTTTGACCTTATTCTTACTCACTCTTTTGTGAATTGTCCCGTCGTGGGATGAATGCAGGACTTCTTAAACTAAAACTTGGGAGCCTAGATAAAATACTGAACCTGACATTCTTCTCCTATTTTCACCAACTTTGCTCAGTTTAGTAAACAGGCAACGCTGTACAGACATTCATGGAGCCCAGAGTCATCATTAGACTGAACGCCATTACAGAGAATGGTTCCTTTGCTGCAGCATCACTGGGCTAAACCGGTGTTAATTCCTCATTGTTTTATGTCCAGCTCATTAACATTCAACCAGAGCTGAGTTGCTAAAATGTCAGTACAAGTAAAAGGGCAGACACAGCAGTTTGGAGGTTTAAGAATGTAGTTATCTAGTTAGTAAACATCAATGCATCACAGTGAGCTATCCTTACCAAATGAATATCATGAGTCCGATAACCATATTGATTTATGCATTTATGCGTGTTACTTTGATCAGCTGTCTAAATCTGTCCGTCCTCAGTTGACCACGGCCCTCAGTGAGTTACTGCTGGACTGAAAGCACCATGTTTAATGAAAGAAAAAAATGATAAAAGACACTAGATCATTTTCCTGCATTTTCAATCAATGCATGCGGAATAAAATCACACTCTTCTGATTTTCTCTCACTCTTGATGAGACCACAGTGAGGTCTGAAGGCTGTGGCAGCCTTGGTTGCAGCGACGATGGTTCCGATAGCACTCCAATAATAATTATTTTGTCAGAAGAGGATTTCTACCACAGTTGTACTCTGTGAATATCTCGATTTAACTTATTGGATGTGTGGACAGGTGTATTTTATAGAAGTTGATAGCTGTCTAATCCCAATTGGTTGTCTACAATGTGTAGTTCCAGAGAATGACCAGAGGTGTCAGTATCAGTATGCAAATAGTTGAATATGAGCACAGTTCCAACTACTATAATACTTTATCATCTGTTTGATTATGTAATGGTCCTAATCTTCCTTATATTCAAACATTGGCAAAGTTCTCCTTCAGCCAGACTCCAATATAAATTAATCAGTGTCTGTTCATCTGTGCCAGTCTTTAGCTTATCTTAAAAACGTACAATTACGCTATAATCTCTCTTGAATTCTTCTTTTTTTTTGTAATGTTATAAATGGAGTCAGAATAGGCCTAAATATACAATAAAGTTGCAAAACAGGCGCAGCAGTCCTTTAAAAAACTGAGGTAAATATACAAAATAAAATCTTCAAAGTTTTTATCAGCGTTCCATTATCCTGACTAATTCAATTTCCATTCTTCATTAACTTTGGGCTGTTTAACACTTCACTTTTCACACTCCTTTTACAACAGAGAGCCGTCTCTTATGTTAAAGACCTTCATTTACAATTAAAAAAAGGTTTTATAATGCTTTAAGGAGCCAGATCTGACAGATAATGCTTTGGTGGAGCAAATGGTTTTAACAAGAATTTAATTTTTCACTGGGCCATTACAGCATGTTCCTGCCAACTGTGACAAGGCAGACAATGGGGGAGAAAAAAAAGGTGGTTAACTTAGGCTCTGAAATCACTTCAGCCACTTCTTAAAAATGACTTCCCAGTGACCAAAGCACACATTTGGGGAAATGCGTGTCCAAAAGTAGAGGATAAGACAATGTGACTTATCAAACTCTCGTTCTCCATCATGGAAGGAGAGAGACAAAGCTCGGCAAAGTCAATTAACAAGCCGGCAGATTACAGCTTCAATCAAATTAAATTTGCAGACTTTACGAGGGCAGAGAACCGGGCGGAATGTAAAGTGGCGAGGTGGCAGCGTTGTCTGTCGCCCACTTATTCTCAAACTGCAATCATTGAAGAAAGCATTCACGAACGAGCGAATGAGCCAAGGAATAGGGTTAGAGTTTGATTTGTCTTTCTGTGACACTGCTCTACGTCGATGTGCCCTTCACACTCGTAACACAACCCCAAATATGCCCTGATTCTACAGTATTTTCCTCCTCCTCTTTTGTTTCATCTCCACAGAGCAGTAAATGTTGACTTACAGTGGAGTTGTAAGCGTCCGTGGTGATATAGGCATAGAGAACATGCTGTACAAAGCAGATGTTTGCCTGCTGGAGGACATCCCTCTCTACAACCAAACTGTCTCCCTGGCTGAGCCACAGCCTTTGAGGCTGAGTAGGAGGCAGGGGGGAGGAGTGGAATGTTCAGACAGTGATGCAGAGAGGGGACGAACACAGAAACAGTTGAAACAGACAGCAACGGGAAAAAAAAACAGTTCTTTTGAATAGAAAAAAGTACCTGCATCACTAAATACTCAGTGTAAGAAAACAACAGGGCAAACAAGAACATACATTTGTCTAAATAAAATAGTGATACATTACCACAAAGTCACAGTTAGGAATTAAAAAAAGGGAGTTCCAAAATGGAATTAAAATCACTTTTTTGACTAACAGTATTATTTGAAATGTATATTGCAATCCAGTTGTGGGCCAGATTGGACAGTCCACCGGGCCCAATTTGGCTTGCGGGCCGCCAGTTGACAAACGCTGCCTTACAGTTTCACTAGTAGGACTTTTACTGCTGTGTTAAAAACATGAAGAAAACAGAGTACTTGGTCTGTAACAGGGTTTGTTTATTAAGTGACAACGGTAATGGTGGCAGCGACTATAAGTAAAGACGCTAGTTTACAGGTCAAAAGGTTAACATTATGTCATAACATGAAAGGTAAAAAGATAACCCTTAAAATCTAACTAAAAGTTCAACTGCAATACAAGTTAACTAATTTAAAACATTGTATGACAGTAATACATACTAAGTATAAAAGTATCAAAAGTGGGTAAAAAAAACCCCACAATATCCCTTTATTTAATTATTGGTGTGAATGTGAGTGAATGGTTGTTTGTCTCTCTGTGTGGCCATGGAATGGACGAGGGAACGGTGCAGTTGACAGCTGTTATTGGCTTAAGCATTTTGACAAATTTACAAAGGAATAAGCGATATAATTAATGTGTCATAATTCTCCGGGCACAAAAAGTACAGTACAGTAGTCTGTAAAAAAAAAATAGGTCCCTCTATTAGCTTCCTTTATTCCCCTTTTTGCAGGGCTTTTCTTTTTCAAATATCTACTGCAAATGTAGGGAGCATGAATGAAGGGAGCATTCTTAATAATATTTTTATCATAATGCATTCAGTAGCAGTGGTTTTTAGCCCTTTCCCTGCAAACTGTCAAGGTCAGCAATATTCAAAGTGTCCAGAACACAAGCCCCACAGAGTGAGGTACGACTGTCTGTGACCTCCCAGCCCCGCTAGCAGCCTCTTAACAGATATTTTCTTTAAATATAAAAAAAAAAAACATGGTCCAAATCTTTTTTTTTTTTTCCCATTCACGTTCCATTAAACAACTCTGAGTGTTTCTCTCTCACTTGCGCGTCTTTCTGTCAGCTGGCTAGGTTGGCCCACAGTGTGCAGCTCTCGCAGATCATCCCACTATTTATGTGCAAGTGTTTATTTATTTATTTTACCCCTAACAGGCGCATATGTCGGTGCCATCTGCCCACCCAAATTGTTGCAGTTGCCATTACTGCCCGTTCCCCCCCATGCGTCTCTCTCCTCAACCTACTCTCAAACTGTTTTCATATGTCTTATTGGCTGCAGTGCAGTAGATACCGTTACACTTAGCTCTCATAACTGCAGACAGAGACCAGAGAGGATCGATAAATATGAGGGGGGTCTTTTCTGATTGCGTTAAATGTTTAACAACAAGGCCGTGCTGAGAGGCCGATTCTGTTTTATGGTAGTTATTGTTGACAGTCACAAATCACGAAGTTTCCACGAAGTTCTTTTTCTGAATAACGGCATTATTTCCAGCTTTCTCTTTCTATTGCTGTCCCCTTTCCCGTGTCTCTGTCTTTCTTTCTGGTGGAAGATGATGATGAATCGTTGCTGACCTTGCCTCAGGCATTACTGTGGTTTAAACCGCGCAGCCCACTGTGCTTCTGTATCCAATATCTGGTTAGAGTCCCACTAACTCCCACTAGTGCACACACACACACACACACACACACAGTGCACTATGGAGCACTTATCTTATTTTTGCTGCATTACAGATTACTTAGGACCCCTTATACGTGCCACTCCCAGATGTACTGTACTGATCCTATACTGTTTCCTGTGAATCAGAACATAAAATACACATTT